CCTTCAATCAGTCACTTCAGGAATAAAGTAAGTCAGAGGCAGGAAGGAAATAAATGAACATTTATTTATTTTATCTTTCATTCAGGAAAAATAAAACTATACTGTAAAATTGATAGACATATATGACGTAAGTAGTAGTTCTAGGGAAGATAGAAGCATGCAGGTTACGACCACTGCCATCAACAATGATGTGTACCCCCTTTCTCTACAATTTAAATTTACAATAAATAAATAATTTAATCAATTATAAGATTTAAATTTTAGCTAGCTCATTTTAGAAAAATAAAATGAATTTAATATCATAAAAAGACAAAAGAGGTCAACTGAGACACCTGAATGGATGGTTGGTAGATGAGAGGCAGAAGGTACATTTTTGACCATTATTTAAACAAAATTGATTATAGAAATGAAGCATGTAGACCAAAAAGTCAAAGAAATATGGCTGAAGAACTAGCTGTAAAAAGAATGAAGAATTATACTATATTGTACGTTTAATGCACCTTCAATCAAGTTTAACTAATGACCAATCAGAACAGGGATGGTAGGGAAAACGCGCAGGTAACAAAAATTGTATGTTTACGCTGTCGTATTATATATGCAAATATTAGCTTAACCATTTACATGCAAATATTATAGAAATTGTTATGTTTATGCGTTGAAGGAAACATTGCATCAAGATGAAAATACTATATACTGTATAAGGCGGAACATATTATTTAATTTAGTTTTTTTTTTCTCTTTATAAGTTAATTATTGTATTGTGTTTGTAGATTAAACCACATCGAATTCTCGTTGTAAGGTAAAACCACATCGGTGTGTCAATGATACATGGGCGTTATCTAATCAATTGACTGATTGACTCTTTATGCAATCAAAATACTGACGAAGATAAGGACACATTGTAGAAACCTAATTTTAAAAAGCTGTATCAGCTAATACACCGTCAAGGAGCGGTAATATCATTTCTGGTAAGAAGCGACAAAAGGAAGGACGCGATGATTTAATTATTACCACGCCTACTTTTATTTAAAATTCTACGTTACAGATGTTGGTAGCATAACATGCCTATTTAATTACATATATTTCATCATATTAATGTTAACATAGCATGAAAGAATCACTTTAGTACTTATTCATCCATGGTGTAACTATCATGATATTAATATTATGCTAACTTACCGCTATATCATTATGCGGAGTATATTTATATATTTTTTAATGTTTTTATCACTAACGATTGTTAATACACTGAATGCAACTCCTTGTAGCATTCTTTTTATCTTGTAACAAAGACAACTATGATGTAAACAGAATATTAATATGTACTCTTTACTTAAAGGTAGTGGTGGCACCAGAGGGGGCTGGGGGCTATATCCCCCTCGTCGGGCAAACCTAGACCCCCCCCCCCGGTCAGGGAAGACGAATACATTCCACATTCCGTCGGGGAATAAAAAAATAACAAAAAAATATATTTTTACATGTCTGTTAGTTTAGCAACCATATCGCCTTCATTGACATATTTGTGTTAATTTTTCATCACAATAATAACAACAATAACAATAATAATATTAATAATAATAATAATAATAATAATAATAATAATAATAATAATAACATAAATACACGTGTCGTTTATTATAAGTTATCCGACTACCGTATATATTACTTTTGACATTTAATTAAGCCCATGAAACAACATAGGCTATATTCTTCTTCACAATGAATTAATTACGTCCAAACATCTATTGGAACGTAAGTCAGCAGAACAGTGTAAAGTGTCAAAACGCTGTTTTGACACTATTTTTTAAAATGTCAGTGCATATTATTGTTATGTATTGAAATAAAAAATAAATAAAATGGCCCTCCCCCACTGTGAATAATTCTGGATCCGCCCCTGTTCAATGAGACTAATTAAAAATGGTTTATGTTCTACTATGACAAATGTTTGTTTGGATATCCTCATGATGCTAGGAATACATCTTGATGGGAGAGCAACATCGTGGTTTACAGATTTCAGGCAAAATTTATAACTTCACTTTGAATTAAAAGCTAGTACTGTGACGTTCCCGGTGACATTGTGATTTCTTAATTCATCGTAGTATAATATTGTCACAAATTGGTGGTCATGCAATTTACAGTAAGACATTATTCTTATTCGTAATTTTGTTATTAATAATTCACAATCACATGGATTATGAAAAACCTGGATCTCGCCATGATGGGAGGATAGTATTGTAATGTAATACAGTGGGGGTTTTTTTTTGCATACTCTTTGTTTCTCGTTGTTTTAATTTTTTTTAATTGGTTTTGGAATTTCGACAATAAAAACATACATGAAGTCATTACGGTAGCTTGATGCCTATCAAATAAATAATAAAAATTTACCAAAATTCGTCAAATCTCCGTAGCTCCGAAGCCCCCTGGACCCCCTGTAGCCCCTAGGCGGCTGTCCTCTAGCCAAGTGAGGATCGCTTCGCTAGCCTAGCCCCCCGTCGGAGCCTTTAGCCCCTTGTCGGGCAGATCCTGGTGCCATCACTGCTTAAAGGTACAGAATTTTATAGTTTGCATTACTATAATATTGCTTAGGTGTAATTTTGCCCTACCTGACGTGGAAATGTACCGAATACTCAGTACATTTGAAAACAACTGCGAAAAAAATCGCAAGTTGTTCTCTGGTGGGACTCGAACCCACGATCTCCAGATCACTAGCCTGGCATCATAACTCTAGACCACCGAGCTTGCGCCTGATGGCCAGGGTTGAATTCGAGTCCTAGTAAGCAGCGGGTACTGCAGTGTTAATAGTAATGTTATTGTCGTGATGGAATAATAGACAATAACTGGATTTGCGTCAGGAGAAACATATATAGGTGTAATTTTGCCCTATAATATACATAATATTGTTGTGTAGTACAATAAAAAGTAGAATTTGAAATTATAAAAAAATTGAAACAAGTTGTTTCATGACCCAGATATTATCTTTGGCCCGTGTTCTCAACTCAAAAAAATAATTAGCCCTTTAAACTAATTAAGATGTAGGGTCTAAGGCGGTACGGCAAGCCTGCTCGTAACTGATGTTTGCGTACCTTGATCTACAGTGGTGGACATTTCTTACCATTTGATCTTATATCTACTGTACCCCTCCTGTTATACAGTTGGAGTTTTAGGTCTGCTTAATGCTTTATTAAATTATGCTTACCCATCAGAACCAGAACTGATCAATTACGTACCTATGAAGGCTGGTTGAAACAATGTCTCTGGACACCTGAATCTCTCTTTGTCAATGGAGATGACTTGTCCATCCGGGAGCTCATAGATCTTCTCGATCTGTGCTCCAGCAGTGGCCAGTTCTTTCTCATAATCCAATGCGACGAAACACAACTTTTCTTTTATGTCTCGCACGATCTCCCGTTCAGCTGAAGGCGAATAAGAAGACAGTTGCAGTACTCGGATTTTATAGCTTTTAAATAAACCTTTAATAATATTATTATGAATGGCTTATGCGTGAAGGCCTTTTTTATTTTGTTTTTGTACATGAATATTTCTTCTAATGGCAAACTTACATCTTATACTATTTTTTTACTTATATAATTGCAAACAATGCTATGCAAAAACTCATTGTGGTCACAGAATTAAAGATTCATATTATAGTAGGCCTACCCGTCGTAGTAAATGAGTATCCTCTCTCTGTCAGAATCTTCATAAGGTAGTCCGTCAGATCACGCCCTGATATATCCAATCTAATGGTGGCGTTTGGTAAAGCATAGCCTTCATGTATCGGCACAGCGTGGGTGACGCCGTCTCCCGACTCCAGCACAGTGCCAGTAGTTCTCCCTGTAGCGTATAGAGACAAAAGTGCTTGAGTTACAATGCACACAGCGGGACTGTTGAATTTTTCGAACATAGTCTGGAAGAAAAATAATAAGGATATATTTCAAATGACCCTTATTCAAATTTTTGAAGCTAACATTACCAAAAATTAACCACCATATGAGCCAAATAAGAGACAAAGGCCAATAGTCTCGGTTCTCAATTTCCTCTATTCAGGGAGTTGTTATAGTCTCTAGTGTACAGTACATACCTGTGCAGTTTCCTCCCGGTTTACATTCGGGTTGAGCGCTACCTCCGTCAGCAAGATCGGATGTTCCTCCGGGGCAACTTTTAGCGCGTCGTAGAACGTATAGTGCCATAATGCTTCCATGTCCTGCCAGTTGGTCACTATGCCGTGTTCGATGGGGTAATTGAGAGTCAATATACCTCGTTTACTTTGAGCTTCATCACCGACATAGTGATCCTTCTGATCCTGACTAACAAGTATTCCCTGAAATTATAAATTTGGAATATATTTACTGTATTTAATATTATTTCACTTTAATTCATATATAAAAAATAAATCATTATAAAATCATCAATAAAAAAGTGGTCACAAGTCGTGTCTCGAAAGCCAAATTGCATGTGAGCCTTACAATTTCGTAAATAATTAAGATAATATATACAAAATTTAATTATAAAAATAAATACAAACATTGAGAGCAGTGGCGTAGCTAGGTTTGGCGCCCGGGGGCAAGAGTAGAAAATTGTTCCCCCTTCCTCCCCCTCCCCCCACAATTATAATTATAATATTTTGAAGTAATTGATATTGGTTGTATAGACTTTAAACATATCCGTAGGCCTACTGTACATCCATTTTTATGCACTGTCTAAATAACATTATTTAAAGTCGAATAACTATTATTATTTTAGCTTCTCATATTCTTTCTTACCAGGGGTGGCGCCAGGATTTGCCAGAGGGGGTCCGAGGTCTGGGGGGGGGGGGGGGGGATGCCCCGACGATGGGCAA